ACCCTACCTGATATGTAAATGATAACTGCACCTGCTACCCTAGTTATTTAATATTATCAGGCTCAGGACATTCCTGTGTGAAGACCTATCTAATAGAAAGGGTTCTGCCTTTGAAGGTGTTAATGTCACTGCCCTGGAAACTGGAATACAAACAGGGCAGGTCACAGCTCAGAGCTTCAATACATAGGCTATTATTCTAACTTTTCAATATATTTATTCTCTTACCTTGGGTAAGTGATAGTCATTCAGTTTTCTCACTTGTAAATCAAAGGCAAGACATAGCACCTTGGTAACATTGTAGTCAATAATATTCCTCACGTGTAAGAAGGTTAAAAACACATTGAAAACAGTTTTAGCATCTCTAAAAATCAAAAACCCTTTATAATACATAATGTGCTGTAGTAAAATTCTTGGTGTTTTTTTTTCTCTTAGTGGTGCATAATGCATTAATGCTTCCCATAATCAATGATAGATATAATGAAATAAGGTAAATTATTTACTCCATAGAAATACTAACAATAGTGTCTGATACACAATGCTCTAAAGATTTAGCTATTATTGATAGTACACTTTAAAATTGTTTAAATTTGTTGAGATGAGTGATTGTTTTATGTGGATCTCTGGACTTGATTATAGACAACCTCTGTAGATTAACTGGAAAGCATACTAGCACATCTCAGTACAGTCATTTTCAAAATTCAATTTTAGTAGTCTTGATGTTTTTTGCTTGTGACACCGGACTTTTCCTCTACCTCCTACTTTATCTCAGAAGAACTCCAGAATATCTTAACACTTAATTAAGGTGGGCAAGAATCTGCCTTGGCCTTTCATTGTCTGTAATGCATCTTGTTATACTCAAGACTCTGAGTCAAAGGTCACCATATTCAAATAGCAATGACTTTTTCTTCTAGATCTCAGTCCAAGGCCACCTTATAGAGTAATGGCTTTTGTTTCCTCTAGATTTTTAGTGGATAATTGTGGTAGCTTGATTAAAAATGATGCCACAGGATCACAGGGACTGGCACTATTGGGAGGTGTAGACTTGTTAGAGGAAGTGTGTCCCTGGGTGTCTTAGTTAGGCTTTCTTTTGCCGTGAAGAGACACCATAAGCACAGCAACTCTTATAAAGAAAAACATTTACTTGTGGTGGCTTACAGTTTCCAAGATTTAGTCCATTATCATCCTGCTGGGGAGCATGGTGGCTTACAAGCAGACATGGTGTTGGCTACATTTTGATCAGAAGACAACACGAAATCAACTGAAACCCTGGGTTGCATATTGAGCAAAAGATACCCCAAAGCCCACCCCTACAGTGACATACTTCCTCCAAGAAGGCCATACCTACTCTAACAATGCTACATCTCCTAACAGTGTTACTGACTATGAGCTTACAGAGGCCAGTTTCATTCAAACTATCACAAAGGAGATGGGCTTTGAGGTCTCAGAAACTCAAGACAGGCCTAGTGTGTCTCATCCTCTTTCTGCTGCCTGAAGATCCAGATGTTACCTGTATGCTACCATGTTTCCTGCCATGATGATAATGGACTAAACCTCTGAACTGTAAGCCAGCCCCAATTAAATGTTTTCCTTTATAAGAGTTGTTGTGGTCATGGCGTTTCTTCACATCAATAAAACTCTAAGACAACAATAGTTGGGGACATGCATATTAGAAACTTAGGAGATTTCAAATGCATTTGATACTACCTAGAGCATTGATGTTATCCTACAATTTACAGTAAGGAAATAGATCAGCCTCAGTGGTAGTCCTACCACTACATAGTACCCATAATATCTCTCATTATGTCTCGTTTAGACATTAGAAGGGTAATGAGAAATTTTGCCTCATGGGAAATAATCTGTTTCATGTAAAATACATTTTTGCTAAGTGGATGACAACTGTAAGCAAGATATTTATGGATCAAATCACAAAGAGAGATGGAGAAGAAATACATAGTTCAAGGTAGAGTTATAAGACTACACTGGTTTTACAATAAATTAGGCTATATCCTGTCAGCCAGTGTAAAAATGGTTTAATTTTCTGGAATTATTTAACAAACAGAGAATGGTATCAAATTTATTTACAGAGAAGAAAATTGAAATTAAACTCAAACAACTCATTATCCTGTGGATTCCTGGCCTTAAAAAGACAGATGAATATTACCCAATATAATTTTCCTGGCTCACTTCTATTATAATGGTGATAATATAAAAAACCATTTGTTCTTATCAACTTGTAAATTGCACTGTGCTCAGACGAATGGGATAGTATACTACTCAGGGAATGGTTCAGTTTGGAACGATCTGGAAAAGGAGCATTCACTCAGGCAATGACACCAAAACAAGTGAAACCCACAATTACTCCAATAAGAACTGCAATGCAGGATGACCCAGGCACAAGGCTTGTATGCCACATCCCTTCCAGTTGGCAGGGACTTCTTAGAAGCTCAGTTTTAAAGAAATAATGTTTAAAATGCAAAGTACAGGCAATCAAAATCTAGATGATTCCTAAGCAGTCAGGTCCTTTTCTTACAAGAAGAGATTATGCTTCTTGTAAGCCACAGATTATTATATTATTATTATATTTTTTATTATTTATAATTTTATAATTTATAATTTTATATATTATAAATTATATAATTTATATATATAAATTATATAATTTATAATTTATAATTTTATTATTTATAATTATTATTATAGCATAATACCAAATTGAAATTTGCACTGATGAAGTTACGATATTAAAGTTAAGAATGAGTTCAAAATAAATTAAACATAAAACCTAATCAATGGTTTCTTCTTCTTCTTCTTCTTCTTCTTCTTCTTCTTCTTCTTCTTCCTCCTCCTCCTCCTCCTCCTCCTCCTCCTCCTCCTCCCCCTCTGCTTCTTCTTCGTTGTCGTTGTCTTCATCTTCTCTCCTTCTATTCCCCTCCTCCTCCTCTTTCTTCTCCTCCTCTTCCTCCTCCTCCTTCATCATCACCATCATAATTAGCAATCATATTTCATCCTTCAAAAATTAAATGGGAGTCATTTTATTGGGTTTTCACCAGGAAGCATGCAAAGTAAATTTCCTACAAAATGCAATGGGTCTAAATATACAAAGATGATACGCAGGTAGAAAAGGTTTAGAATGTAGTGTCCCAGCTTTGTTATTATGGGAATGGGTTAGTGCCTTGGTAACATTTATACTATGTTCCTTTATAATGACTTTTCTAATAACCCATTCAGTTTCATCTAGATTCTCTGTGCTTCATTTTGTGTAGTTGTCCTTTGTAATCTGTTGGTTTTAAGTTTTAAGACCTCAGATATCAAAATTCTTGAGTGATCAATTCCCTTATATACAGTACCCTGTAGACATATTCCTTTGTATTTTAATTGTTTTGGAATCCCTTGAAGTACCTCACTCAATTGGATGTGATATACCCAGTTGTTTGCAGTATTATTCAGGGAATAATTTTGAGAAAAAAAATCCCTACATGTGCAGTACAAACATTTTGACAGGGGTTTTTGAAGTGAGTTTGGTGGAACATTTAACCCATGGCTATAGAGATAGCATACACAACTAAAAAGATTCTACTAAAATATTTATCTCTTTTTAACTTTTTATAACCTCTTGCTCTTATCTTCTCTATCACAGTTACCTCTATTCCTTTTCTTTTTGCTTTCCATTATATAGTAACACTTCACCTCTGTTCCTCCCCTTCCCCCACCATCTTGCCTTGTCTCATTTATTATTTCCACACTCTCACTCTAATATTTAGCTTTTTTAATTATTAATATTTTCCTATGTTTCCAGAATGGCAATCAAGCATTCCCCCATGCACCTTCACATGCCTCCAGGGCATAATGTAGGGCATTGGTCCGGGGCATCATTGTGGGACATCAGTACTATAAAGAACAAATATGTGAAGAATAAGGAGGAAAGTTAGAAAAACCAAGCAGTGCAGTCTATTGAGAAAGGTGGAACTGAAAATGTGATGATGATTATCAGTGTTGACCCTGGGCCAAGCCCTCTTCTTGTTGTTGAGGAACATGGTAGATGCAGTTTCCTGCTCTCATGGAGCTTGGGCTTGGCTGATGAAGACAAACTTCAGAGAGATAATAATGAATAGGACTTACCGGGTGCCAAAAAAAAGAGGACTGGTACCTTAGAGAGTAGCAGCCTTGGAGATCAACCTAATCTCAGATCCAACTTCCAACACTTCATAGTTGCAGGTCTGGCATACGTGAGAGGCCTAGCAGCTAAGAAGCCAGGGCAGGTTGGGTGCCACTACAATGAACAAGTACATGGTGGAGAGATGGTAGAGGAAGAGAAGCAGAATGGTTTGGGCACTATGAAGAGAGGCAGAACTGGAGAAGTGAGGGAGGTGAGAACAGCCTGATATGAGTAGTCTGTACTGCCACCTGAGGTCATAGAGATGTCTCTGCCCAACAGCCAGTGAGGACCATGTTCGTGTCCTTTGTCCTGCAGTAGCAGGAGCCTGGGTTGATGTCTGTGGCCCAAGTAACAACCAAAAACCATGTGATGCCCCTGATATGGGATGCCGCCAAGAACCAAATTGATATCTGAGGGATATACAGAGCTGACCACCCCCTCAATGGCTGTGACATTCAGGATAGCTGGTCCTACCCCTTGCCTGGACAGTGTGAGAGAGCAGGTTCTGAACTTCACCAGTTGCAACACTCAGGAAAGAGGAGCTGCAACTCACATTGCAGCACAGAAGAACTGGATTTTATGGTATGTGCATAAGAGAGCTAGCCCCAAGTGTGTGAAAGTGGGAGAACTGTCCCTGGCTCCTGCCATCTCTGGCACTTACCAGGGAAATGCTGAAAAGCTGGCCCCCATGTGTGCATGTGGGAAAGCTGACCCAGAAGATTTGAGCCCAGGAGAACAAGCCCAGGAGAACAGTCTTGAACTTAGTCAACTGCTGCAGGCAGGAGTTGTGGCCCCGCCCCTCACGTGGGCAAAGCTGGAGAGCTAGCCCTGGTGGTGCTCGAACATGAGAATGGACAGGCTGACCAGCTCAACTTCCAACCAGGTGCAGATCCAGTTCTTTGAGTTGGCCCATCCCAACATCTATCCCCTCTATGAACTGCTGGAACATGTGAAAGGGCTGGTCCTGCAGAACCAAAGCTGTGGGATCTCCATGACCCAGGGCAACATGGGATATCTGAGAGGAGTCCTGGTGGGGATTCAGTATTGGTAGTATAACAGAAGCCAGAGGCCTTGAACTAGACCAATGACTCCTTGGAATGAACATTTGCAGGCAAAGCTGTTTGGGCAAAAGGGTAGACATTGTGACACACCATGACACATGACAGCTTATATGGGAAGACTTTTTTCATTTTTATTTTTTACGTCTCATCATGTTTATTTTTTTTTCTTTTGGGGAGAGGTTGCAAGGGTGGAAGGCAGACATGGAAGGATGGGGAGATAAGTGAGATTGGGGCACCTGGATCTGAAGTTCACAAAGAATCAAAACAAAGTTAGAAGAAATAGTTTTGACCATATTCTCCTCCTCCCTCAACTCCTTCTCTTTCCCACCTCCCTACCCACCCAACTTCTCTCTCTCTCTCTCTCTCTCTCTCTCTCTCTCTCTGTAAAGAATTCAACATCACAGCACATTCTACAGTGGTTTTGATGGAAACAATTTGGTGAAGCCTTTCTGATAGCTGATAAGTTAACACTTCAAATCAAAATTGGTCAAGATAGATAATAGTGACAAATGCTACTATAGTTTAATAAAGGAACGATTTCATGAATAAGTTATTACATTAATAAATAAGTGTGACCAAAATTTCACAAAACAAAAACTAATGGACTGGGGTTGGAGAGATGGCTCAGTAGTTAAGAGCATTGACTGCTCTTCCAGAGGTCCTGAATTCAATTTCCGGTAACCACATAATGGCTCCCAACCATCTATAATGAGATCTGGTGTCCTCTTTGGGCCTGCAGGGATACATGCAGACAGAACACTATATTCATAATAAATAAACAAATAAATAAATAAATAAATAAATATTTTTACAAAACCTAATGGACATAAAAAATTCAGACAGATACTAATACAATAACCACAAATTATTTCAACTTCAGATTCTTCAACCAAACTAAAATCAGCAAGGATGCTACAAGGATCTATGTAGATCATAGATCAAATATATCTACATATGTCCATAGAATAACCCATCCAACAGATACAGAATATATAGTTTTCCTAGCTGAATATGGAAACCTTTCTAAAATAGACCATGTTCTAGGCTACAAGTGAAGACTTTCCATATCAATAATTTCTTGAATTTTATGAGATCATAGTGAAGTAAACCTGAGACTTTATAGGAACAGGACCTACAGAAACCTCACAAGTGCCTGGAGCACTCTTCAGTGATAAATGTGTGATTCAGAAAACTAAGGAGAAAATCAGGGATACAGCTAAGGCCCTTTTCAGAGCAAAGTTTATTGCTTTGTGATTGTATTAGAAAACCATAATGGCTGGGTGGTGGTGGCACATGCCTTTAATCCTAGCACTCTGGAGGCAGAGGTAGGAGGATCTCTGTGAGTTCAAGACCAACCTGGTCTACAAGTGCTAGTTCCAGGACAGCCTCCAAAGCCACGAAGAAACCCTGCCTCGAAACCAAAAAGAAAGAAAGAAAGAAAACCATAATGATGTACCTCTTGGTCTCATAAAAAAAAGAACATTCCAAACCCAAAGGCTATAGAATGAAAGAAACAAAAGATCAGTACAAAGGTTAATGAAATAGCAACTAAAAGAACAACATATAAAAAATCAAACAGTTGGTTATTTGAAAAAAAATAAGCAGAAGTGATAAACACAGAGCCAAAACAATATGGAGAGAGAAACCAAACTAGTAAAATTAAAACTGAAAGAAAGAGGTTAATAGAGTTTCCAATGAAATCCAGGAAGTAATTTGAAAACACTTCTATTTTTTTTTAGATTTTTTTATTTGAATTAGAAACAAGATTGATTTACATGACAATCCCAGTTCTCTTCTCCCTCCCAGTCCTCCCTTAGCACCCCCACAACAAAACCCTACCTATCACATATCCTTTCTTCTATTCTTCCCCTGACTCAACCTTTCTGCTCCCTAATGTCTTCCTCACACATCCTCTTCTCCCCTTCTCATTTTCCTAGCTCCCTCCCCTCTCTTCCTGTGCTCCCAATTTGCTCAGGGGATCTTGACTCTTTCCCCTTCTCCAGGGGACCATGTATGTCTCTCTTAGGGTCCTTGTTTACTAGCTTCTCTGGCAGTGTGGATTGTAGGCTGGTAATCCTTTACTCTATGTCTAAAATGATTACTTTTCCATTTCTATGCTAAGACATCCTAACCATGACAACTTATAAAATAATGATTTTAATCTGGGGATCATGGTTCTAGAGGCTTAGAAGTCATGACCTTCATGCTGGCAGGTGTGGTGCTAGAGCAGTAGCTAAGGGCTTACATTTTGGTCTGAAAGTTGAAAGCAGAGGGTGCTAACTGGAAATAACATGGACTTTTGAAACCTCAAAGTTTGCCTCCAGTGGCATATCTTTTCCAAGGAAACCAAAGAAGCCACACCTCCTAGTCTTTTCCAAACAGTTCCTCCACATATTCAAATAGATGAGTTTATGGGGACCATCCATTTGTATTAAAACCACCACATAAAATCAAGCATAAAAGACAACTTGAACAGATCCCTAACAATCAGCAACATTGACATAGTAAAAATGTATCCTAATAAAAATCTTAGGACTAAATAAACCCATCCTTGAATTCTGCAAAACTTAAAGAAGAATTAACACCAGTGTTCCTCACACTGTTCTATAAAATAGAAATGGTAGAAACAAAGCATTATTCTGATATCACAACTGAGCAAGAACACAATAGCAAAATAAATTTATAGCTAGTTACCCTTAGTTACACAGATGTCAGAATTGTCCATAAAATTCTTACAGAGGAAGTACAAGTGCACACTGAAGAGTTACTGTACTAGGATCAAGTAGTTTTATTCCAAAGAGGCAAGGTTGGCCCAAAATTAAAAACCAGTTGCTATGCCGAATATAGTCTTAAGGACAGAAGTCATGTGATCATCTCAATCAGTGCAGAAAAGGCCTGTAACAAAGCTTAATATTCCTTAATAATAAAATTGCTCAGGAAATTGGTGATGACATGGAAATACCACAATAAAAGAAAGAATCTATGTCACACCCTTATTGTCAAATATTAATTGGGAAAAACTGAGAGCATTTTATCTAAAGTCTGGAAAGAGATATGGTAGCAACTGTCTCCATACTTATTCAATGCAGTGTTCAAACTTATAGCTAGTGTAATAAGACAAAAAGGAGAAGTAAAAGAGATAAAGTTAGGAAAGGAAAAAGTAAACTTACCCAGTTGACAAAAACAAACAAACAAACAAAAAAGAACATGATGCTATATTTCACAGTCCAAAGACTACACCAGACACTTCTTAAGACAGATTAAATGCTTTCATCAAAAAGCAGTATATGAAATCAACATACAAAGCCAGTAGCCTTTTTATATACCAAAAATGAACATACTGAGAAAGAATCTGGGTAAAGCCTCATTAACAGTAACTTAAAATAATAAATAAGAATACACTTTAAAGGAACTCTACAGTGAAAATATTAAGATACAAAAAAAAAAAAAAAACCCAGGGAGATACTAGTAAGTGAAAAGCTGCCCTGTGTTCATTGATTGCCAAAACTGATGCTGTGAAAATGGCCATGTTACTGAAAGCCATTTTACATATTCAACGCAAATCCATCAAACTACCAATTGTTATAAGAATTATAATTTTAAAACCCTGAAGTTTATATGGAAACACAAAAGACCCAGTGCTGGAGGCATCACCTACCTGATCTCAGACAGTTTTAGTAACAAAACTGACATGATACCTACATAAAAGCAATGGAATATAATAAAGTATCTAGGGGAACTAACACACAGTGACAGCTACCTAATTTATGACAAACTATCCAAAGTGTATCACAGATACAAGACAACCTCTTCAGCAAGTGCTTCTGGGAAAACTGGACTTACAAATATAGTAAAATGAAACTAGACTCATGGTTCTTATTGTGTGCAAAGATCACTTCAGCATGGATCAAAGATCTTAACTGAAATTACTAGAGGCAAACATGATCAAAGCACTTTAACCTTTATTCATAGTCCAGCGCTTTCTGAAAGGGACTGTGATAGAACAAGAAATCATTCCTGGCTTTGACAAATTAGGTTACATGAGATCAAAAAACACAGTAAGCAAAAAAATTTTAGAATAAAGAAATAGCCTGAAAAATGAGACAGAATCTTTGTCAACTGGATGTATTAAAATAAAATTAATGCAGAAGTAAAGGAGCATCAACTCACCTCAGATTGAAAACTAACAGACCAACATCACACTCAGTGAACCAATGAGTTTAAGGCAGTTATCATGGATGGGGTTAGTTAAGGAAGCATTTGTTTCAAAGGCAGTTCCATGGCACCATGGAAAAGCCAATGAAAACTCATAAACCTATATCCATAAAGTGTTCTAAACAGAGTGGAGACAGCTGCATAAGTCAGTATCTGCCAGGAAGTGAGCCTAGTCAGGGATTCTTCTCTCCCCAGCCATTGTTTATTGCTTCCATAACTTTGGGGATGGGTATTGTGAATCTTGTTAAATTCAGCATTTTGGGACTTCTGAGGTTCCTCTAATTCCTGAGTTTTATGATGTAGAGAATTTTTACTTTGAGGGAAATGGCATGTCAGATGGAGGATTAATATATTAATGTCTAGAATACATATAAAGGAATGCAAAAATTGAACAAGAAAAAAAGTCAAATCATCTAATCAAACAATAAACTAAAGAAAGATAATGAAATAAAGTACTTTGGAAAAGTAAACTTGTACAAATTATGGAAATCAGCATGGAGATTTCCCCAGAAACTACAAATAAACTTGTATATGACCCAGATATACCACTTGGGAGATATAAACAAAGGACTTAAAGTCAATATAGCACTGAGAAACTTGCATATTCATGCACATTACTATAATAATCACAATGCTTTGTGAAACTCCTACAGCTTAGGTGCTCATTAACAAATGAATACATTTATATAGAATATCTATATAAATATAGATATATGATTACATGTGTACATATAAGTAATGGAACTTTGTTCAG